ATTTAAGATTTTTCATGGAAGATGATGAAAAATTAGAACGATTAAGAAGCGTAAGTTGAAAGACAAAAGATCATTTCTAACACATTGAGTTTTGAATCACATGAACGTTTGATTTTCGAGTATAAGATATTAAATATTTGAAGATTTAATTCGACTTTGATACGTTTGATAATAGAATAGTTGTTATGGATTGTTTGAAATCTGATTGAATCACTATATTCTGTTTCGTTTTTATAAATATAGGGCTACTCATCTGGTCAATTATTAACTGGTGAATTGAAACAAGAATTGATCGACGTATTACAAAAGTTAATTTTAGAACATCAAGAACGACGAAAACAGGTCACCGATGACCAAGTCAAACAATTTATGACACCAAGACCATTGAAATTCGGATGATCACATAGACTAATAGTAGTGAAATTTTTAATCATGATATTTCGTTTCTGTTCAATTTTATTATTTTACTGCATTTAAAAAAGAAATACCGTTTGTATTCTATTCTCGATTTCAATTGTTATTTAATCAAATTCTATCCTATTTCGTTTCTTTGGAATTTTGAAATGAGAACTTGAGAGTGGGTATGTCGAGCAAGCATGATATCAATATTTCACCTTTGCAATGAGGATCTTCAAATGATATTCATTTTGATTCGAAATTTAAAAAAAACTGAACCAAAACGAAGTTGAAATCTTAATTTGGGATGAGAGAATATGTGAGAAAAGAAGAAAACAGCGCTATAATCGATGAGTCATTTCTTCTAATATAAAATGGCTGTTTTATGATAAAAACGTTTTTGAGTTTCTAGAAGAAAGTCAAAGATGCAGAGACTTTTGAATTATGCACAACAGAATTTTACTTAATATGTAGTAATATAAAACTTCAATTCAACTAAGATTTCAAGTTTCACTTGGCAATGATTGAGATAGGCGCGTTATGAATCTTTTCGCGCATTCACACCAAGCTATGTATAATAAGTCTCCCTAGTCCATGTACTCATCCAGAGAGTACTCAAAAAGTACTCACGCTAGAAAATGCCGCGAGTACTCATGAGTACTCATGGGTTTTGAGTACTCACCAGTGGTACTCGTGCTAGAATCTGAGTATCTGAGTACGACGAATGAGTACTCATCGTGTAATATTGCGTGTTTTGTGAGTACTCCTATCTACTTTTTGTGTACTCTGCTGGTTTGTGTAAAATACTCATAAGCATATATTTTGGTTAGTACCATAGTACTACATCATTTTTTATTTATTATCAATTTATTAACAAAATATACAGACACACGCAATGAAAATTTGAAAAAAAGACCAAATTGAGAACTAATTGCACGTTTAATATCAGCCTCATATATTTCAACCCAAAGAATACGGACATATAAACCTTCATCATTTTCGAAAAAATTAAAATATTTTCATTATCTATAAAATAAAAATACGATGTTACTTATTGTTTCTTTTTTCTTTCAATAAGTCGAAAAAATCGTATTTTCATAATATGAAAATAAGAAAATATCTAACTAGCTTCTCTGAAATGAAGACTTTTTTGTGTATATTTTAAACAGTGAGAGTTCAATAAAACACGAATTGAGGACAGTAAAACATTGAAGCAGAAAAAAATAACAAATAATTCAATGATAATGAGAAATGCGAGAGCAAATCAACGAACAATATTGCATACTATTACAAAAAAAATGAAACAGACATTTTTAAACTCGTAACTATTTACATTCAATTGGTAATTTACAGAAGAAAAAAAACAGTTCTTTGTCAGTCGTATATTCGCACATCTTATTTTAAAATCCTGATTTATTTGTTTGTAACAAAAGTCGTTAGTTCTCTTTTCTTTCGCGAGATTTCGCAATAATCTGAAAAAGTCAATTTTAATAGAAGATTTTTATCTAAATTTATGAAATACAATTAAAGCGAATTTACATTAATATGTTTAAAAAAATTCAATCTCACCCACGAAACTAACAAATGAAAATGAAAAATCGTTTTTCTTTTCGTTCTGAAAGTCACCAATTATTTTACTCGTGTAAATGACTCATCACAAAAGAATAGAGAATCTAATAAATAAGTCATTAAAACAAATTTCCTCTATTTTTTAATTTATTGCATCTTTTTCTTTGATTACGTTATTTCAATTTATTTTGTATATACTAGTGCATAAGTGTTTTGTGAAATATTCTGCGAAAAACTATCGTGAGTACTACATTGAGTACTCATATATCTGCCTACAAGTAAATCTCTAAAGAAAAACTCGTACGAGTACTCATCAGAGTACGCGAAAAGTATACATACACGTTAAATTCCTCAAGTACTCGTACGAGTAATATGGGTACTCATGCTGGAAAGTCGTACTCGCTTGATGAGTATTTTCACTAGGGAGCTGTTATCTAGTTTCTTGCAATGTAAAGCTTCAAAATATAATTAAATTTGAAATAGGCATAATAAGAGAAAGGAGACAAATACAAAAATTATCTTTTTAGTCTGATTCTAATGAATCAATCTGGCAGCATTCTTTGTTGAAGTTGACAATGTAAATGTTGTTGATGTTGTGGACAATTGTGTAGTTGTGTTTGTTGGTGGAATCGTGACATTCAACAGTAAGATATAATCACGTTGAATTACTTCAAGAATATCTCTTTAAATTCAAAATCCTAAGAAAATACTTGAGCCCAGTAAAGTTGTGGTTGTTCAGTAGAATTTGCATATCTACTTTGAAGTACTGCGAACGTGCTGTCGAATCTAGCTTTCTAAACTGTTCTACAGAATCCTTGACCGAAGCGAGGTTGATCACTTAAATTAAACAGCATATCTGCCAGATTCTTTCTCAAACTCTTAAATTGGTTACGAATTTGGAACCACTCACTAGGCAAAATTTCGCGAACAAAGTCTTGATCACAATTGTCTGAGATATAGCGATCGATAAAATTTATGAAGAAGATTTGCAAGTCTATCATACTAGTGCACGTATCTCCTATGCTCGTGTGTCATTATTTGAACCTACACTCAATCTATCGAATAACTTTCGTTTAGTAATCGAATCAATGCCATGTTGCCATTATTCGGCTGCCGTAGAAGAATATATTTTTGAATATATTTTCAATTATTTTGATTTTACTTCTGTGACCGATGTTCTTCTTGGTGGTGTAGCTCAATAAAACATCTATATTTCTCGATTGAATATATCAACAATCATAAATGACGATTATGATGTCAACCAAGAAGCTAAAATAGAATTTGAGTTAACATTTCCGCTCAAAACCACAGATTCATGCGTTACGTTAAAACTGTCTATGCAAGTTCACTGAGTGACGATATATCAATGCAAGATATAATCAAATGGTCAAAAACAGTTTAAGCTAATCCAGTTGTTATGAAACTAGATATTCGAGGCATATTCGATTTATTCAAACCAACTCGATTTCCATCAGATGCCAAAATTAAAACAAAAGCAAGTCTTATTCAAGAAGCATTGAATAAATATATTGAAAATTCACTATTTTGTTATAATAATTGCACGAGTCCATTGAATGGTGAATGCGTCTCAACAGCATACTTTCGCTTTGGTCTATGTCAATGCAAACCCGTTTGGTCGGGAATCTCTTGTTCCAATCAGTTGCCGAAACCTAATGTTTTCAGTGGTCTCATATGCGGTCTTCGAACGAGTACTGGTGTGGATTATGGAGGGATTAATCCAGAGAGTGGTACGTGCCAAGCTGACTACGCTCACGATGCATGGTTCATTGGTAAGACGGGTATAGATGTAATGAGTTTTTGTTACAAGTCTAAAACAGATACAAGTTTCGATCGAATTGGTACCATATGTGGTCTTACTGTGGGTTCTGGAGGACAAAAATGTGGAGGACAAGATCCATGGTCAGAGAATTGCCCTGATGGATATGCAAGGTATGAATGGTTGGTGCAGTAGGGTAATAATGGCAGGATGATTTGATGTTACAAGGTGCAGGAATGAATCGAAGATCAATCGGGAACAATATGTGGTATGCAAACAAACGATGGTAATGCAGGCACAACATGTAATGGTTACCAGCCGGCAAGAGGTTCTTGCCCGCCTAGCTATTATCTTGTCACGTGACTTGTCAATTTTGAAAACAATTATTGGTCATTTTGTGTTAAGAACTAGATTCATTGTAATCATGAAATAATAAGCAAAATATGATGATTAAATAGAAAACCTTCGGTGAAAAATCTCAGACTTGTTATTTATCATTGTATGCAATCGATGGAGCATAAGTGGAAGTCGACTTTACATTCATACACTGTTATCCTGAGTAGGCCTATTGCCAGAATGGTAACATTTTTGTGTTAAAAAATTGTTCGTTGTTGAAGCTTTTCTTCATATTCATGATATAGTTTGCATGATAACTTAATTGAGTTAACTAGAATGCGAGATTTAGCTTTAAAAAAAACCATTGGCAACAAAATATTATAATAGAAATACACCATTTCAAATAAAGTGAGCTGATGAACTTAGACAAGAGTTCATATAATAAAACCACATTAAACACAATACATAAACAAATTCAATGTTTATTTTTTGTTTTTCTTTTACTTTATTATCGAAAAACTTCGATCCTAATTTTATCAAGAATAGTAATATACCATCAGTGATACCATTTAGACAGCAAATTTAACTTTCTATTTTTTAATTATAAACCTTCGTCAATCATTCAATGTACCAGAAATGAAAAATTTTTTGCCAAAAATTTATTCTTTTAAACAAAATAAATATAGTCGGTCTATTATTATTTAAATATACAATAACAATAAAAACACATCTCTTTATTTAAGTAAACTTTCGCATGCAATTAAATCATATTTATTATCAACAAGTCATTTTTTTGTCTATAGTATCATAGTTTTTTTTATTACAGGATGATAAAACACTTCCAATCTCCACTAAATTCTAAGACCCTCTAGTACGCATACACAAAAAATGTAGTTCGAGTAGATTCAAAAAAACCTTATCTTCAATGTTGAATAAATTTAGCAAAAACTTGCTTCAGACTGATCGAATGAAATATCGACAGAATATCGTCTTTCATCACTTTCGAATCTTTTGCTGTTTCTATTAGTGGTTGCAAAATATCTACATTTTTGTTTGCCAATGCGTCTGACAGCCATTCAAAACCTTCTCGAAGTCCTTGGTTTTTCGTGGCTACTGTCGGTTGTATATACCATTTTCTGTCATGAGTTAATTTTTCCAAACCAAGCTTATCCGTTAATTCACTAGGTGACATTGCATTTGGTAAATCTTGTTTATTAGCCAATATGAGAAGAGGTACTTCTCGGAGTTCATCTTCATTGAGCATCGAATTCAACTGCTCGCATGCATCATTTACTCTCTCTCGATCATTTGAGTCGACAACAAAAACAAGAGCTCGAGTATTTTGGTAATAGTGCCGCCATAGGGGTCGAATTTTGCCACGACCACCAACATCCCAAGCTGTCATTGCAATATTTTTATATTCGATTGTTTCAACATTAAAACCAATCGTAGGAATCGTTGTCACGACTTCGCCTAGTTTCATATTATAGAGAGCAGTCGTTTTACCTGAATTGAAAAAACACATAAGTCAGCAATAGAAACATAAAAATAGACTTACCAGCCGCATCGAGACCTACAATTAGTACACGCATCTCCTCCTTTTGAGGAAAGTACGATGCAATCTTGCTGAGTGGTGAACCCATTTATGTAAGTGCTTTAGAATTTTTTTTTCTTATGCCGTTAAATGCCCGTACACGCACATATACACGCATGTATATAAAAGAAATAGCTTGTTTATTGAGTTTCAATGATTCATTAGCTAGCAACGCATGTTGTCTTTGCCACGTCTCACATTTACGTGACGAAAATTGCACAATCACTATGTAATGTTACTTATTTTCTTTCATCCTGCAAAATTTGTCGACTTATCTTTTGCATCTCAGATGACGCTCACAATTCTGCTATATGTGCCAGTGTATTATTTACCACTTCAAGATCATGTATGCAGGCAAGAATTTTATAATGAGGGCGTAGGTGTTGGGTGTGGGTTTGGGTGGGTGTGGCTACAGAATGTGATCAAACACCCACACCTACACCCACACCATTTTTCCAAAATAATCCACAAATTTGCTTTTCTTAAAACAGTATTTCGTATACTTTAGAGGTACGCATGAAAGCTAAGGGTGGGTGTGGAGTGTGGGTAAGTGGATATGGGTACGGGTGTGAGCATGAATGTGTGGGCGTGGATGTTCATATTCATTTCATTCACACCCACACTCTGCATATTGATCAAAACCGTTTTTTAGCAAAAACAGGCGCTTCTTGCTAGCATATGGACGATTAAGCGAAACTTTTCTTAGATCAATTGTACATCATGTTGCTGTTTGAAGTGTCCTTCTTAGTGCAAATTTGGTCAAGCTAATGAATTTTTTAAACACGTATCCGAATGTTTTCTACATAAAACTTATCTCTCTTGATGAAAATAATCAAAAGCTATAGAAACAAGTGGGAATGGCTCGCTATAAGAAAATCAATCGATGAGTGACCCCTAGCTCACTATGGATTAAATATCACCGAGTGATACTATTCAAATCATGTATTGTTCTGTTCTCAGTTAACACCAAACAAAGCATTGATTCGGACAAAATCATTGCACTGTCCATTTCTAATAACATTCTACAAGTGTCTTAATGCTCGTTCTGAGTAGTGGCGAAGTTAACATATCTAGTATTTTATATACGACACGTCATATTTATTGTTTAGTAACGTGACAAATTTTTATCTGGAAAAAAACATGTATGCATGTCCTTTGAGAATATAAAATAAAAATAACGTGCTTTATGCACATACATTGACGCTGAATTTTGTCATTATTCAAAGCAGATTCAGTAGATTTTGATGGCACGAATAGGTGTTTTAGTATCAAAAGATAATTCTAGTATTGAATTCAATGCGTACATCTTTCATTCAACGGTTCTAATGCTCGAATCAGTCAGTCAGAAAATTGTACTTGGTGTGTATTCGATTGTACTTATTGTAAGTATCATACAAACATTTTGGAAGAATAAACGTATCGACCATCTGCTTGCTTATATGACTGAAGCTTATTCTGATGGCAAATTTGGATCGAATAAAGTTTGTTTCCATCAGCAAACTATCACGTGTTATCGATTCGATCAGCGTCTTTCTCATATTCCTAATCCTAATCGATCAATATTACCTATTATTGCTACTCACGTACAAATTCTCATGCTCATTACGATCAAAACATTATTTGTTCGACGAAGTGAACTAGTAAATGATTGTTACTCGTTTCACTATCCATATAAAGTACTTCAATGTGAAAATAATAGAGATCCATGTCAATTAGATGTTACTGAGAGTTCTTTCAAATGTGTCTATTATTATTTTGAAATGTCTCATCTAATCACAATGATGACGTCTCTCATTACTTGGCATTATGCTCTTCGTTATTTAGTTGTCAAGCTTGTTCGCTTCGTTCGATGGATAATGTTTCGTGATGACGATCAGCCACGAAGAGTGTGCTTCTGTTGCTGTCGAACAACACGGCGTATCTTACAATATATCATGTATTTCACTTACATTATATTGTGGCTCTATTTCTTTTTCATAATATTATTTGGCTTTATGTGGAATCTAGACATGGCGCGTATACCAAGCAATATGTTAGGATCTATCTGGATACCTATAATTCTAACAGGAGATCGATTATGCTCGCTCGCTTTAGCTTTGGTCCCCGAATTAATACAAAACTGGCTGAATGTATTAGCAAAAATCGAATCTTCACAAGTTTTTAATTCCAGCGGGTTGAATCTTGCCAATGTTGAACCTCTTGTTTTATTGATCAACAAAAAGACGACATCTTCTACATCGTCTGAAAACAGAGTATCAAACATTAATAATAAAACTGTTGTCAACTCAATATCTCACGCGTAATCAATGATTGTGCAAGAACAAGGGTGTGGGTGTGGGTGCGAGTATTGGGGTGGGGTTTGGCTGAGTGAACCACAACCCAGACCAACAGTCCACATCCCCATCCACACCCACACCCACATCCTTAATTCAGTTGATATGGTCTTCAATTCAAGTATTTGTTTATTCTCATGTTACCATGGAATGTTAACCCTGACTTCAGAACTCATTTACTATAAGAAATTCATTCTGTTATTTTTGAAAATGAAAATTTAATCTGCGCTTATAGGCGTAGTTGAAGAGAGTTTCAACTAAGATTAATCAATTCACATTTCCTTAAACTTTTTGCAACAGTTTTAAACTGACTATCAGAAATACAGGGACATAAACATTATATTGTTATAAATTAATTTCTTAGATAAATAATGGGTAGAATGTGTTTTTATAGAAACGATTCATCGCTATTAAAACAAGACAGATGTACTTGAAGAACAATAGTCAACAGAGACAAAAAAACGAGTCGAGTCAAGCCAGACCCA